TCGTCTTTGTCATAAGTTGACTCTAAGTGCAACTTCGGGAGTGATTTGTCGCTCCATTTACAGTTCAGGTGAGTACCTTTTTTTAGATCTTCTTCTTTTTGCCTTACCAACTATTAAAATGTTTATAGTTCTGAGATTTCATTGTATTTTCTTGAAAGCTTAATTAAGGTATTCAAGATATTCTTTTTTCTTTTATTTACTATATGAAGAATATATTGTGTCCTATCTATGTTGGCTATGTCACATGATTATTGAATGAGTCACGCTTCGCAGATTAACTCTGTTTATTTGTTTACTTATTCAAATAGTATTACTGGAGTTTTTTAATCTATCTGTTGTACTAATCAATCAATTGTGAGATAAACACAAGTTGCAGGTTGTTTATTTGTTTATTTGTTGATTTCAGTAACACGTATACTGGATCTATTAAGAGTAAACTAGATATGAGAAACATGCTTTGTGATTAGCTGGAACACATGTTAAGCTTATTTATCTGTTTAGAGACATATCATGTAATCTGTTGTTATGTCTCTATTATCTAAAGGGATGTGTTTGTGTTTGCATTATGTGCTAGTTGTTTATATGTTGCTGATGTATTGTTACTAAGAATCTTTAGCTATTGTTCTTGAATTCCTGACATCCTCTTGGGTTTTGTAAATTTTGAGTTTTGACTGGTTTACTGATTGGGATTACTATATTTTCAAGTTCCTTCTAATGTCTAGAAAAATATAAATCTGTACTGGCCTGGTTGAAAGCCAGGGGAGTTAATATTGGATCCCTTGGTCTTACTATGATTCAGATTTACTTTTATTTTCTCTTTTTCTCAAAAGTTGATAGATAAAGTACTAATGTTATTATTATATACTCTTCTCCTAGTGGCTTATTTATAGAGTTTTATATGTTGCTCCAAGTGAGATGATATAGTTATGTTTCTTTTTACTATGTTTATTGAGCTTGGATTGTATTATCCTTTTTCTCTAAACAATTATCAAAAAAGAAAATTTTCAGAAAAATAGTATATCAGTGGAAAGAGTTTTTTTATATACAATCAAAAATTCTAAAATTTATATATATTATATATTAATACTTATTCTATTTTTTATATTTTTTTAACAATTTTTTTATTAATACATTTTAAAGTTTTATTATTGTTAAATATTTTTATTTTTTTATTAATTATTATATGATTTATAATAATAGCCAATCAAAATCCTCCAAAAGTAAAATTTGATTGTCAAAGTTGAAATTTATAATAAAAACATAGTAAGTGAACTCAAACTTTTGAAAGCAACTATATTATACTGCTTAAGTAAAAATATACTTATATTTTCTATTGATTAATAAACTACAATCTAATCTGGCTGCAGGTACTCAAAAAAAAAAATAATAATAATAATTGATATTATTCTAGAAAGATTTAGTTATTTATTCAAAGTAAGTTAATTTTTAATAAAACTTATATTTAATATTTAATTTTTTTAATGAATTTATTTGTTGGCTAACCGAAACAAATCAATTAGTTCTAGCGAGCTTGGCGCTCATACAGTATCTCCGTTTAGATCTCTCAATACACTGATTGGCTTATATAATGCCGATCATCGTTCATCCACATTATAAAAATCTCTTTCCTCGAGTTATTTCGATACGAAAATGGATTTAAATAACAATGACTATTTGCTTTACACTGTTCCACCAGCATTCGTTGCATTTACTAGTACAATATTTTTAATTATTCAGAGAATAAAGTCTAGAAAGGATTATGATGAAATACTACAAGAGGACATACCAATTGTCGTTGATGATACACGATTTTCGACAGTTAAAAGGGATTTGATAAATATTGGAATAATAATATTACAGATTGGAGCATTAGCGTTCTTGTTCGGTTATAGATACGATCAAAATTGGAACGATATTACAGGGATATCTGCGGGTGTACTTTCCCTTTGCTGGGTAAATAAGATCATGTGATTCTAGGTTTTTAATTAATGTTCAACTCAACTCATTTATTATCTTGAGCTCTGTTAGTTTTACGCACTGGTGATTACGATTATACGTGTATGCTCGAGATCGAAACAACATCGTTGGATTTTAAACGCACATCTAGCAGCATTCACGGCTACCGCCTTTCTATGTTCGCTCTGGCAACTTCGAACATCCATCAAACTTGAAACCGTCGTGGGCAATCACGTGACCAATAAAATTGATGTAGTTGTAGCCGCATGCAATTTGATTTTCTCTTTATCGGCCACACTAATAGCCATTACAACACCCAAAGGTCCGCCGATACTGCAGGAAGGAAGGGCTGTCAATGCGATAGAGTATTGTTCGATATATGACTTTGTTACCTTTTCTATGGTGTCTCCCTTAATGGTCAAAGCATATTCACTAAAAACTTTCCAAGATGCAGACCTTGATCTTCTTCCATTTTCCTGTCAATCACGGATTCTATATAAGGTCTTCAAAAATATCCGAGGGAATAAACTCATCTACAGGATCTGGAAGGCCAATGAACGTACCATCGCAATCCAGCTGTTTTTCACGATATTTATTAGTGTTTTATATTACGTTCCTATGATTTTCTTGTACAGGTTTCTAAGGTTACTTCAGGATAGGCCAGATCACGGATTGTATGAATGGGGGGTCATATATATATTTGGCATGTTGATATCAGATATCCTGATATATTTGTGTATTGCGCAGAATTGGTTCTGGAGCTCGAGCATACTTCAAGTTAGTATCAAAGGAATGTTATATTCTGAAATATTGGCAAAGAGTTTAAAACGAGTGGATACACACGTCGCAATGCAAGAAGATGTTGAGGATGATGCAGATGATTCGGGAAAAGGAAAGAGTGAGGATGAGGATGATGGAGAGGGGAATTCATCGATTGGAAGGATCACCAACCTTATGGCAGTCGACACAAATAGGGTATCCGAGTTGTCCGTGTGGTGGAGCAGTGTAATTGATTCTCCATTAGAGATAATTGTTGGTACTTACTTCTTGTATCAAATACTGGGCGTGTCTTGTCTGTTTGGATTATTGGCAATGATTTTCGTTCTTCCGCTCAATCATGTGGCCGCAAAGTATTATGCCAAAACGCAAGATAACTTAATGAAAGCGAGGGATCACAGGGTCAGCTTGATGACTGAGGCAAGTCCTGCGCCTATACAACCACCATTGCTGTTATTTTCACGTTCTAGGTTCTAATGCGTCGTCATTCCATTTTTTGGTATATCCAAAAAAGGTCCTTCAAGGTATTCGAATGATCAAATTCTTTGCATGGGAGAAAAACTGGGAAAAGAGGGTTCTAGGTAATTTTATCTTCCCCTGAATGGTTTCTTGCGGTGTTAAGTGAAGCTCAATTGGTTCATGTTGTTAGACGCACGAAGGACGGAACTCAAACAACTTCGTTACAATTTTATATATTTGGCCCTGCTCGACCTGTTATGGATGGCTTCACCTATTTTCGTGACAATAATTAGTTTTTTGTATTATACCAAGATTCAAGGCAATCAACTTACAGCGGCTGTCGCATTTACTTCAATAGCGATTTTCAATGAACTTCGTTTTGCCTTGAATGTTCTGCCCGAACTTTTCGTAGATGCAGTTCAAGCCTTGATCAGTCTCAAAAGGATAGATAAGTTCTTACAAGAAGATGAAATAGACACTTCTCTTGAAAATGCTGTCTCTCATGGGACCACTTTAATAAGTTTCGTGAATGCTGTTGTAACATGGAATAAGATAAAGAATGCGGGAAATGACAGTAATGGTGAGGTTAACGAATTTTTGATGCGCGACTTGAATTTGAATTTTCCGATTGGAGAGTTGAGTGTCATATGTAAGTACGTCAAGAATGATGCTTTAAAGACGATGTGGAAGCGAGAATGTACTTTATCGTACTAATTATTTGCTTAATTATCGAAAATTCTTTAGGTGGACCAACTGGTTCTGGAAAGGTGAGCCTTCAAGTAATTTTACTTCCATTTTGGCCGATTAACAATATCTCAATCTTATAATTGTATGCGAACAGACATTGCTATTGCTATCCCTTCTTGGAGGTAAATTTTCCTATCAATCTTCAGCTGATAATTTTTTAAACCGAGATTGATGTTTCAGATTTTCTTAATAGAAACCAATGTTTTGAGTGGTAAGATCAATTGCCCACGTTCTCCCACTGACCGACCCGATAAAGATATAAACGCACTCAATTGGATTCTTCCAAATGGCGTTGCGTATGTTGCACAGCAACCATGGCTTCAAAATGCTTCTATACGAGATAATATATTGTTTGGCCTTCCCTATGATGAAGAGCGATATAATCAGGTGATAATGATGTGCGCTTTGGAAAAAGATTTTGAAGTTTTTGAGGATGGAGACATGACAGAAATAGGCGAAAAGGGGATAACACTTTCGGGGGGACAGAAACAAAGATGCGCTTTAGCTCGGTAAAATACATTTTTACTAAGAATTACTGCGGTTTTAAGACCATAATGGAAAATACTGAATAATTTTTACATTACAGAGCGGTATATTCACGGGCAAAACATATATTAATAGATGATGTTCTTAGTGCCGTTGACGCGCATACCGCTCGACACCTGATGAATGAATGTTTATTGGGGCCACTGATGAAAGGTCGTACGCGAATTCTTGTAACACACCATGTTGGATTATGCTTATCAGTTGCATCTTATTTGGTAAAAATTCTCTCGTAATATTCAATTACTCTTCTCCATAAAAAAAAACTTATCTTCACTCTTTCAAGGTCGTAACTAATAATGGTGAAGTCAGAGCCTCCGGAAATTTACCCGAATTACGAAATTCTGGAACGTTGGTTTCGGTACTGGAAGAATCCGATAGTCGAATAGAATTTCAAGATCTTGCTGAAACGACAGTCGAGAATGTTATTAAATCGAATACCGACAAAAGTATCCAGAATGAACCTATATCTTCCTCAGCAAATCAAGCCGGGAAAGCACAGCCGAAAAAAAATGCCGTACCTAAGGTTCTTATTGAAGAAGAAGGTATCTATGTATATTCGTTTGTTTTATTTATTTTCATTTATTTTCATTTCATTTTATTTTTTTGGTTTTATTTTCATCTTATTTTTTGGTTTCATTTTATTTTTATAGCGCGTCCGACTGGCATGGTCCGCCTAAAAATTTATAAAACGTATTTTCGATCAAATGGACATATCATCTATTGGCTGATTGTGGCAGGACTTTTTATTGGCACCAGGGGGATGCAAGTATTGGAAACTTGGTGGCTCAAAGTGTGGTCTAGCGCAAATATCTTAGATCCTAATAACAACGGAATAGTCTCGGTTGTTACTTTTTTGAAACGGTCCGAATGGATCTGGCTCAAAGGGATGCGTAATGGTGTGAATGAACCTCATAGCATAGAATATTATTTGAATATTTACGTTATCATCACGCTTGCATCTGTTTTACTCGGCATCTTGCGATTCGTGTGGCTTTATTACGGGTCCTTGAAAGCATCAAAAAAGTTGTATCAAAAATTACTCAATCGGGTTATTCGAGCGCCGCTAAGATTTTTCGATACGACACCTGTCGGAAGAATTTTGAATAGGTTCAGTAAGGACTTCGAAACAATCGATAGCAATCTGATAGGTATTACGGTATAGGTTTTTGATATTATTTATTTTTCTTTAATTTCTGTCTCAGTATATTTTTCATATTCAAACTGATTATAGGTGACCTTGCACGGTTTTTATCTAATGTAATGAAATATTCAGCATTTTCTAAAAAAAAAATTCCTATCCTATAATTAATTATTCATCCATTTCTCCTTATTCAATGTTTAGTCGGTCATGATGATTAGCACCGCAATGGTTGTAACGGCTATTACAAAAGGTGAGCGACATGCAATAATTTTGATTTTTGAAAAAAGCAAATTTTTACCAGATTCGTTCTATAGAATTTTCCATTGCCGCGATCATTTTCGGTAATTATATGTGATCGTTTTTGACCCCGTAATCAATAACCATTCGATTTCCCATCAGATTTTCATCGTTGATCGGTTACCCTGATTCAGGCATCATATTTTTATTGGTCGGATCATTGTATGCAAAGGCGTCTCGCGAGCTTAAGAGAATGGATTCGGTGACCAGATCTCCGTTATATTCGCATTTCACCGAAACTTTGATGTAGGAAATTGGCTCATACAGATTTTCATTCTTTCGTGCACGATATTAACTTCCGATTTGAACCTAGTGGGATAACGACGATCAGAGCTTTCGGCGCTACTAAGCGTTTCATGCAAGAAATGTTAATAAAGTTGGTGATTCACATACATTTGTCTATTTTTATTGTCTGATTTATCGTCATGAGAGATTGAAGCTATACTACTTTTATTTTTCTATTCTTCATATTTAGAATTGATAAAAACTTGCGGCCATTTTTTTATGCTTGGTTGGTAAATCGTTGGTTATCCGTTCGGTATAACATTACCGGTGCATTCGTGACATTTTTGGCTGGCTTATTCATAATGTGGGATCTCGAACGCATCGATGCCGGCTTGGCTGGATTGTCTCTTTCGTTTGCCATGAATTTTACAGAGCAAATAATGTGGTCTGTGAGAAAATATACTTCATTGGAAATGAATTTGAATGCCGTGGAACGAGTTAGCGAATTTTCGGAAATTCCACAGGAAGCCCCCGCCATAATAGAACCCAGACCTCCGGCAAATTGGCCACATGACGGTGCCATATCTGTACAAAATCTTGAAGTGAAATACGCGTCTGATTTTGATCCCGTCTTGCATCAAATCTCATTTTCTGTGAAAGGCAGAGAAAAAGTGGGACTGGTCGGAAGGTTAGAAGCACTCGATTTATTTTCTTTGAAAATTTGCACTCATTTTATTGACCAAAATCTATTTTGCGATAGGACTGGATCAGGAAAATCAACCATAGTACTTTCTCTATTTCGTTTTATCGAACCCTCGAGCGGGCGGATCTTTATTGATGGAATTGATATTTCATCGATTGGTGTCGAAGACCTCCGATCAAGAATTACAATTATTCCACAAGACCCAATACTGTTCAGCGGTAATTTTTGTTGAAGCTTCTCTTATCCCTATGCTGTTCCATCAATAAAATTTTTTTGTCAATGCACCCTCTAGGTACGATAAGATCGAATCTTGACGCGTTTTCACAATATGAAGATCACGAGTTGTTGGAATCACTACGTCGCGTTCACCTGCTACCTTCTGCGTCTGAGGCTGCCACAGGATCCAGCATGACAGTGGAGGATAATGCAAACGTGTTCACAGACTTGGATACGCCAGTAAGCGAAGGTGGCAAGAATTTCAGCCAAGGTCAAAGGCAATTACTTTGTTTAGCCAGAGCTTTGTTAAGAAGGTCCAAGATTATAGTTATGGATGAGGCAACGGCCAGGTATCATTTATTGACAAGTTGTTTTCACGAATTCTGTTCATCTGATTCAATGATCTTTGTATCCACTTTGAAGTATTGATTTTTCTACGGATGAGAAAATTCAAAAGATGATACGGAACGAATTTATGGATTGCACGATATTATGCATCGCTCATAGATTACGCACTGTGATTGATTACGATAGAATTTTGGTTCTCGGTATGAAAAAAAAGAATGAACATATCCCTTGTTAATTTTTTATTCGTATTGACCCAGGTCTACTTGAATCTTAATAGATCGTGGCAATATTCTGGAATTTGATAGGTAAACTTTTATAATGAGACTTCTTTTTAAATCGGGTTCGCTTTTTTCAGACGCTTTAATATGGCTTTTTTCGACTCCCAACAGTCCTTACAATTTAATAGCGAACCCCGAATCCGTGTTCCATATGATGTGTCAAAATTCGGGCGAATTTGACTTATTAATGGCGTTAGCTCTTAAGAAAGGCAAGAGCGATTATTAAATTAGGCACGATCTTCACGTTGAAATGTACTCGATACGTGTCAACAAAACTTAATTCTGGAGGGGGGGGGGGGGGGGGGGGGGGGTGTTTGGTTTTGAGGGCGGGGGGGGTGTGGGGGGGGGGGGTTTGTTTTATTTTTTTTTTTTTTTTTGGTTTTGTTTTTCTGTTTACAACTTTACTGGTAAGTAAAATGGGGGTTCTGGTTTTGTTCGTGGGCAAAATTTAATTTTCCCGTTTTTTTTTTTTTTTTTTTGGTTTTTGGTTTTTTTTTTTTTTTTTTTTTTTTT